TGGGGTGTGGTAAATTTCCATTAGCTTCACCTAATAAATTGATGCTGTATATGTATCCAGGTCTGTGGGGACAACCAAAATGTTAGCACAGTGTATTTCCACGCTGCTTTCTTTTTGCGGTTCTGCCAAATATAAGCTTTTAAAAAATTGTTTAGTCCCTGCTGCCCACTCACTTCATCTATAGTCAGGGCAGCTCTGTGCCATTCTAAATAAATGCTCCAGTTAACATGACTTCCTTTTAAACTGTGAGGCTCAGAGCAGTCTCTGTATGGTGGAACAGGATTGTCAAACAATTGAAGCCTGGCAGAGGCTGAGGAGTTGCAGAGTGTAAGGCCTGAGGCCTAAGCAACAATGGTTGAGACTTTGCTAATATAAAGCAAAGTTAAGCTGTGAGCAAGAGGCAGGCCCTGCTCACAAAATTTGGCATGACCTATGTTAAAGGTGTAAAACTCTAACTGGTACTAGGCATGGGCCGGAAGCACATTCCACGGGGATGGTAACAGAACAGTTCATGAAAAAAACATTTTGGTACCAGCACACTTGCCACCGATAACAGGGACATACTGACCCAGGTTCAGGACAGGGTCTAAAATGACATCATGATACATTGTGCTTGAACCAGGTAATGAGAGGTATCTAAGTAACATCAGAGGGTAGCAACCTGATACACCAGGAATGAGGTGTAACTTGTTTGTACCTATGTTTAAAAATGTACCCTAAGGAGATTGTCCTTGCCTGGCCTAGGAGCAACAAAGGAGACCGTGAAGAATTCTGCCATTAACTGAGCTGGTCCATTGTCAGGCGTTATCTACTGAATGTACAGTAGATACATGCATCTGACGAAGTGGGTCTTTGCCCATGAAAGCTTATGTACAGTATAAGTTTTTACTGGAGCTTATACATAAGTACAGCTATTACTGTACTTTGTTTGACTATAAATCTGGCCTTGTGCCTTTGATATTTATTTGATTTTGTCGTATTTGGGGGGCTCACTCAGAGTCTGTTGTATGGGCTATCTGTATAGAGCCAGTACAATATACAAGAGGAACAAGCATACAGCTGAACAGTTATCATTGGATAGAACAAGATACCTGTCAGGACACCACACCGGTGAACTCTGACCCACAGTAGTTTGTCTTGTAAAAGTGACCACATCCCTGGTTTCACTAGTTGGTGCACAAGAGATAAATATGTTTGTTATGGCAAAGGCCAGGATGGACACTTGCAAAATAGCAAATGAAAAGGTCAGTCAGAAAATACCTTAGGGTCTCTTCAAAGGATATTGTAAACTGTTCACTCAAAATTATTTATTCGTAGTACTTTGCCTTTGTTTCTGTCAGTGGGCTGAATTCTGCCCTTCATTACACCCTGGAAACATCAGTTAAGTGAATGATGTTACATGGATGTAAGCAGGTGGAGAATTTGACCTAGAAGTACTGTCAATCCTGGCTGCTTAATAATGTTGATCTGACATCCATATTTTTAATGCGTACCTCCAAATAATTCAAACCACTGTTACCATGTTTTCCCCCTGCAAGTAGGTAAATCTTGAGTTTTGCCTACCGTAAGGACCTTACCTGGTTGGCTCATGTTTTTATCATGGTTTTTGAAGTGCTGAAACACTTCTCATGTTGTGAGCTATGAGTTATACTATAATCTGTAGTAGTTAGGCTATATCACTATTGAAACCATTGTCAGCAATAGGTAATTTTCATAGTTCAGAAAAAGTGTATATGTCTCTATCAGAAGACTTATCCGGCAGTGTGAGCGGTGCAGGAGTCAGGGCAGGGGGTTGTGTGTGGTGGGGGGTTCAGAGATGAGGGTAGGAGTGCAGGAATCAGGGCAGGGAGCTGGGAGGTGTGGGGTCACTCAGGACGGTTGTTGGGGTGCGGGAGTCAGGGCAGTGGGAGAGGAACTCAGGGCAGGGGCCTGGGAGGCCTGGGGGAGGATCACCGGGGCTGCCTGCTGCCGTGAGCACTGTTCTACAGCTGCCAGCCATCCCCAGCTCCTCTTGGGGAGCCAGGACTGCAATGCTCAGCCCCGGCAGGATCCCACAGAGGGGACTGGGGCTGCTGGCTGTGGCCGAAGGCTGGGGGAGGGAGATTGGGGCAGGTGAGCCACTTCCTTGAACTGATGGCAGCAACATGGAGAGCCCTGGCCACAGCTGGCCTCTCTTCCCTGTGTGGCCACCCCCCCTTCCCTCCCCCCCCGGTGGTAGTTCTGCAGTATAGCTGTTCCCCATGCTCACTGCCCCCAGTGGTCACTCTGGAATATAACTGTCCTTTCTTTCAGCCCTCTCCCTTTCTGTGTTATGTAAAACAGTCAAATTTCAGGCACATCCCATTTCCCTGGCACATCCAAACTTTGACCTTGCTTTATTTTAGGATAAGACGAGGCTGCACACCAAATTTGGTAGGTAGGATAAGACGAGGCTGCACACCAAATTTGGTAGTATAACTCTTACCATTTAAGAAGAGTTCTTGAACAAACAGACGATGCAGACTGACAGACACACAAATTCTCTAAAATATATATAGACAGATGATGACATCATCATTGGACAGTTCCTAGAGATACCGTGTTTTATAAAAGAGCAAATTACACTATGCAGTCACATCTTAGATCATATAAAGTAAAATGCCTAACTTATCCCAACTTGCTTTCAGGCAGGCAGTGTGCTATGCAGAGCAGAGAAACGTTCACAGAAGTTTCAGGTAGCGGTGACAATATCCTTTCCTACTGTGAATTTCTTTAAGACACAGTCCATAACTATATTTAACTTGATTGCAAATCAGCAGATCTGATTGTGGTATCCCTGGCTGAATGTTTTTATGTGTTTCATAAAGATACAAAAGTCAGGTGAAGCACCTGGAAGGCAAGTAGCATTTCTCTAAAAACAAAGCAACACAGCACCTTCTCGGGTATCAGCTTCCCGGGTAGATATCTCTTTCACAGTGGTTATGTCAACCATATTCAGAATATGACTAGGAGAGAAAACAATAGGAAAGTAGAAATTCAACAGAGAGGATGGCCAACTAGGAAGACTTAGTGGACCTAACCCATAGTTGCCTGCTCTTAACTATCACATTTCCAGTAAATTTTGCCATATTGAATAGCTTTACCTTTGCCTATCAGGGAAGGTTTTACTAGTGGTACTGATATAGGTGTCTGAGGTTAGTTATACTCGTATGAAATCCACATGGCTTTTTGTTTGTTTAACCCTCTTCACAAGCAATATAAAATAAACTCGGAAACACCCTTCTAATTGAATACAAATGTCCACATGGTATTTATATGTATACAGCTACATTGGTTTAAATTCACACCTTTGGCTACATTGCAAAAACTTTTCTGTTTAGATGTGACTTTTTAAGAGGTTTTCCTTTCCTTTTTTACACCCAATGCTGAGCAGAAAAGAGTAGTTCTTGCTTGGATATGGCAATAGGGATGCAAGCGGATAAGAATCCTTGTGTCTTTTGAAATAGAAAAAGCATAGGGAGAAGATAAAAAGCCATCAACTCCAGAATCAACTGTACTATGGCCTGCACAGTGGGATGGGCATATATTCTGTAGAGATTTTTTTGGAAGGTTTCCATACAAGGTTTACTGGAAAGAATAATGATAGGTTCTGATACAGGATTCTGAATACCATGATATGTGTGACACTTCTAATTCATTGTATACATGTACAAGTTTATAATCTACTAAGGTCATGCATATTACAACAAATGCCTTTTGTCTGAAATCTGCTTTGTTTTATATTCTAGTTAAAAGTGTTCTAGAAGAATGACAAAGTGATTTATGTGAAAGATAGGTGATTAGGTCCTCTTAAATTACACTGTAATTTACAGAGCTTTAAATGAGTGTTGGGCCTATTTAATGACCATCAGACAATAACATGAATGCCTCATTAATCATGAAATTAAGTTAATGTTTGTGCTTTTCACTCATACGAATTTTGAAACTATGCTGAATTAGCATGCAATGTATTTTATTTATACTGAGGCCTGGTCTGTGCTACAAAATTAGGTCTGGTTATCTATATTGGTTAAGGATATGAAAAATTCACACCCCTGTAGGGTGTAATTAAGCTGAACTAAGTCCCTGTCTAGACAGCACTAGGTTGACAGAAAAATTCTTCTACTACTTCTCAGGGAGGTGGATTCTACATTACTGGGAACGTGTATACTGTAATGTTTTCAATGTAGACAAGTCCTGAGACACGTCAAAGGGTATACAGGGCATATATTTCTGGTATATTAGCCTATAATTGTATGGTGTTCTTAGCTACAACTGTAAAAGCCATAAAAAAGATATGCTATTAGAAATCATGGTTTCTTTTGAGTATTTTAGGGCATTTCTAGATAACTTTATACTTAGTCTTACTATGTACAGTCATCTGAAACATAGGGCTTTGCAGGGTTGGGTTTTTAAAAAATATTTTATGGTTTGCATTACAGTATATACTGTGAAATTATATGTATTATTATAAAGCTCTGTTATCTCTGCTTGGCTTCTTTGGAGGTAGGGGTTCTATGATAGACGGGGGATACCTTTGGTTAAAAAAGTAATAAAGAACAAGAAATTCTTGCTTCCTTGTCAGTTTTCATAAAACTTTATTACTGTCTTGCATTATTGTTCCATAAGAGTGGTGAAATAGTTGTGGTAATATGAACATTCCCAATATACACAGAGTTTTCTTAAGAGTATGAGAAAATATTCCAAAGGATGCTAGCTGTGAAAGGATATAGAGTTTCCAAATCACTGCAAAATTGGAGATGCTTTGATGTTTTGAAGTTGATGATGGTGAAGCTGTGACATACACATTCTGTATATCCCATTGCTGCAGAAAATGCAACCCTGTTTCTGTTTATCCGTATTGAAATTTCAGTAGACTATAGAGCCGTTCTCAGAAAAGGAGATATTTTTGCTGTGTGGTATCTTTAACATGTTTTACATACAAAGCTCACTACCAAGTTTTCTGCTGTGCTTTTTCCTAGAATGGTTTTACTCCTTTATACATGGCAGCTCAAGAGAACCACATTGATGTGGTAAAGTATCTGCTGGAAAATGGAGCCAACCAGAGCACTGCTACTGAGGTAAAGCATATATTCCTTTTCTATATACTGTCTGATTTTCCTTTCCCTGGTGATCCAGATTATTTCTGAATGAGTATAATTGTCAAACCAAATATTTCCAAATTTTGGACCAGATTATATCACTGTGCAAATTTTTCTGTGTGTGTGTGTGTGTGTGTGTGTGAGAGAGAGAGAGAGAGAGAGAGAGAGAGAGAGAGAAAATATCAGTTGCCTTCACAGTGCTGTTTTTCTCCCCATGTTCAGAAAATTCTCATTGAGTCTAGGGAGGATATCAGTTGCCTTCACAGTGCTGTTTTTCTCCCCATGTTCAGAAATTAAATTAAATTAAATTTATGGCCCGATTTAAGTCAGTAGAAAAATTCCCTCTGACTTCTGTGGGGCCAGGATTTCATTCTACAGTCTATGTATGACTGATCCAGTCTATTGTCTCCCCATCAACCCCATCGTAAATATGCAGAAAAGTGAATTTGCCATTGAGGTGATGTTCCTTCAGCAGCATCTCGGAGAAGATGACACAGCAGCTTGGCTTCCTTGGAGCTGCACTGCCATTACCCTGGTGTGAAGAGTACAGAATACATGTTTTTTTTGGTGAAGCCGTATGCCACCAGCACATTCTGGGAGATGCCAACTCTCTTCACCTAGGCAGAAATACAGTGCACCACGCAGGAATTACAATGCCTCACGCAGGAATTTCTGTGGGGCGGTGCGAGCTGTGGAAGGGGCTGGTGACTGTCCTCCCCCTGCAGCCCTGCCCCCCGCTCCCAAGTCCCACCACTGGCTTCCCTCCTAGGTGAGGAAGGGGGAATCAGACCCAGTCTTCCCTGGTTTGCCAGAGCAAGGGGGAGGGAGGCTGGGGCAGTGCACCTCCCTGCTTTTCCCTGGCCGGCCAGAGCACGGGAGATTGAGGCTGGGGCAATGCCCCGCCCTGCTTTCCCTAGGTCGGCTGGAATTGGCCCCATGGCAGACCATGAAGGACAGTGTGTGTGTGAGGGGTGCATTCGCACCCTTTTCACTCTCCCTCTCCCACCTACGGGCCTGATACATGCTTACCCTGCCCCAATGATGACATGCTGTGATCTGGGGAAGATCAACAAGTGGAACTTTGCAAAGTTTTCCTTCTACTATCCCTCAGGGTGGGTTTTTAATTGGGATGGAGTGATCTGCAACCTTGATTCCGTCCATTTCTGAGCTAGAGCAAAATATGTGGAACATTTTGTGTGTTTCATAATGAAGATGCTGAGGAACATTTCTTAAAAATATATTGAAAGCATAAGACCCAACAAGTCCTGTGCTAATAAAGAATACCGTTGCACCTCAGCTGTCATTGACTGCCTCTCAAAGCCAGTTCTCTTTGTGTTAGGAGACTCCTGAATTCACATGTGCTTCTCTTTGGTATTGATGGATTCTCACAAAATGAATTTGAGAAAAAGAAACAAATATACAGAGAAGAAACACTGAAGCAAAATGTCTCCCAGGATTTAGCTCTGCTTGGGGAATGATGGTGGAGAATGGGCCTCAGTGAGCCGATTAGAGCTCTCTAATTCTGCGGGCTGGTTTGTGCCTGGCTTGTGGAATAGAAAATGTTTCCAGGTGTGATTAATATAACTTGGAAATCAGTTATTATGAAGCAATAATACTCACCAAGCAGCTCCTGCTTCATCTTCAGACAATACATGTTTGCTTACAATCACAAGTATAAGCACACAAAAGTATGATACTCAAGGCCAGGTTCCGAGTTCAGTTAGGGCATGCCTACCCTACATGGAAGATCAACGCTGCCGCAGTCAATCTTCCAGGTTCAATTTAGCTCGCTAGATCACACTAACAGAGTGATGCCATTGGTACCGATACTCCTACTCCTCGCGAGGAGTAAGGGAAGCCAATGGGAGCCTGACCTCCTGCTGTGTGGATGGGTACTTAAGATACGTCGACTCCAGCTATGTAATTTATGTAGCTGGAGTTGTGTATCTTTCTTTCATCTTCCCATGTTGCGTAGACCAGGCCTTAGAAGGGTGTGTGTCGGGAGTAATTCCAGTGACATCAATACTAGTCACTACAGATTGACACTGGTGCAACTAAGATCAGAATATAGCTCTAAGAATATAGAAATTGGGACAATGGGACTATTCATTTCTTTCACCAAGATCTGTAAATCAGAGAAGTTTTAGGCAAAGAACAAAATTCATATATAACAAACTATGTGTTCGCTGTTTCCCATTGTTCTCTTGCTACCAAATACTACTTTCCTCACTCTCAGAAAACGAAGTGGACAGCTGTGGTTCTGTAAAATTGTCAACTTTGTTATTATTCTTTCTATATATAACAATTGTGAAACAACAAAGAAACTTTTCCCTCCTCCATTTTAATTCCTCTTCTCATCCATTCCTTCTTTGTTTTTAAACTTGTTACCTTCCAATCAGCATGGAAACTCACCCATTCTAGTTAACTTGACCAATGAACTGATTTGAAATAGGGCTGCATTTATGCTTGCTTACTTTGTGCTATATCCAAACTGCTTGGTGTTAACAGCTGCCTTTCTAGCTCTTCATTCAACATATATTGTGTCACTTCACGATGGCTCCTAAAATGATCCTTTCTGTGACTTGCATTGATTGAGATCGTGTTACCATTGCAGCTTTTCTGAAATAAGAAATCCTGTGGAATTGCCAGGCAAATTGACGGAAACAGTGTTTCCAAATTGCAACAGAGTTTTGGGTCTCTCAGGAATTAAGCCTAGCGAAAAGTTCTTAGGGACCTGCTTTCAGGTGTGCCACATAACTGCTTTGTATTTTCTGTGATCAAGTTTATGGCCAGTACAGTTATAATCTAGAGAAAGGCTCTAGGTTGAACTATCCCTGGAATTCATAGATAGGTTTGGATCCAGGATTTTACTTCTGTCTCTCACATTCTAAACCTGCCAAAGGCCAATTTCATCTTCTGGGATTTGGAGAGTGAAATCATGCTTTGTTCAGCCCCATGGAAGGGTTCTCAAGATATGTAGTTCCAGCATAGGAGGCTAGTCCACTCAGGGAGTGGAGTGAGTGCCCACCTGCTCTCACATGTATGTTGATTCTGGCTGGTTTCTGCCATTAGAAACAAACAAATGGCAGTCTAACCTGGTAGTCCCATTTAAAGAGCACTGGGAAGCAATCAGCAACTGGTATTAACTAGAGCATCTCAGAAGAGAGTATTGCTGAATGAGGACTCCAAGACTGGGAGGATATTGTAAGAAGAAGCAACACGGAAGGGAAGTGCTAGGGAAGAGGCAGAGACAAACGGCTAGATGGCCAGGTTTTTTTTTGTTTTGTTTTTTTTCAAGTTCAGGATCCAAATTTGAATCCTAGCCACAAAGAAGTTTAATTAAAAATTGTAATCCTAGGTACTAATTTTGACTCAATGCAGCTCTACATTGGCAAGTGAAGTGTATATATATATTTGAAGTGCCAAACTCTATTGTTGGTTGTAGCCCGTTGCCGTCAATTACTTTAGCACATAATGATTCAATAACTTTGTATGTAGTCAGCTGAGGACAAAATTCGTCCCTGAAGCTTTAAATGTTTTACACGTTAATTTCTCTTTTTCAGGAGTTTATCAATTTCTGTGTGATGTTAAACTCATATTAAAATTAGAAAAAGTCCACTGTCCTGATTTTTTTCTTCTAATCCTGAAGTTTAATTGAGTAGATACAGCTAGTAATGCTGAAATGTTCAATGCTTTTTTGATGTGTAGGAATAAGAATGAGGCCACCAAACTCATTTTCATATGTCCCCCCTTAATCCAGGATTTGCTCTCAAGTTTCCAGAGGGGAAAGGCTCATGCACTAAGCCATCCCACCAGCTAATGTAGCTCCAATCTCAGAATTATCTCTCTGGTTCAGCTGTTGCTTCAGCTGTTCTCCCATTTTAATTCCTAGTACAGAATGTAGTCTTCTGAGAGTACGCAGCTATAACAGTGTAGCGGTTATAAAGTCTACTCATAATTTTACACAAAAGGGAATGAAAGGCATTAGATGAGTGAGGTACAAACCTAGTTTGGTGTGTCAGGACAACACCTCAAAATTTGCATGTTTATCTGAGACAGTTTAGATTGTACTGCCTCCAATATTCCTCATTCTCGCTATTCTTTCTTTCTTTTACCCTGCTCCCAACCCAACCAAATTCTTCTCTTTCTTCACTCCACTACTATGTTTCTCCCAAATCCATCAGTCTGCTTCCCTCCCTCTTTCTATACCTCCCTCTTTCTGATTGTAAATAACTCTTTAGCTGAACTTTCTTATTTGGGCATGGTAAATGCTTGTTCTCTATGAGCGTGTCCACACTGCCATGTGCTTTTGCACAAGAGATGTGCTTTTGCACAAAAGCGTCCATTGCAGTCTGATGGCCATTTTAGCCGTAAAGGTTTCTTGCACAAAAAACCCCTGTTGCCTGTCCACACTGCCTTCTTGTGCAAGAGCTCTTATTCCTTGTGGGGAGAGGAATAATTCTTGCGCGAGAAGCCCTCTGTTCTGACGCCTTACTGTAAATTTACTTGCGAAATTATGCACGTGCAGTGTACACATTTCGCAAGTTTTTGCACAAGAACGGCCGTTCTTGCACAAAAAGCCTGCAGTGTAGACGTAGCCCATGGCTTTCCCAATGCTTCTGTTTTCAGTTAATCCTTACCAGTTTGCCCTTGTATCTCCTCTTCCATCCACAACCCAAATCACAATCTCTTCTGTCCTTTAGTGCCTTTCTAAGGGTAGGATTTTCAGAATCACTCAGCATTGGTCAATGGAATTTTAGCCCATGAGAACATAGTTTGGCCAAGGCTAATTGCTTTTGAAAATTATATATTACCAGGTTAGAAAAGAGACACAAAGTTCCATGGTCTGCTGGATATCCTTGCTCCTATATCTGCTTGCTTATGTAATGAAGCCAAATTATTTCCACTTGAAGGAATGACCGCAGCAGCAATATTTGTAATAGGCTTGATTTTGTTTAAGCATTAGCAGAACAGGACACATGTGAATGTTTGAATATTTCCATTTCTAACTGAATGCAAAGTAAAATTAGAAATATACTTGAAAGGAAAATAAAAGATATGTTTCTGAAATTTTGATTCCAGAAAGAACAATTGTGATGCTTTGCTGCTTAGGATCAGAATCAGTAAATGACACCCACTATCTTATTGAATCACACAGATAGCATATAACTTCGGAGAATTAGAAGAAACTACAATAAATTTATCTGGTGATGGGAAAACATGAGAGACTCTCTAGAAATGGTACATTGTGAGAGACACCTTAGCAGGTGCATTTCATCTTATTCGTGCTAATACCAACAACTGACCATTTCTTAGTATTTCTCATGTGTGTATCTCCAGAATAACTTGATGCATGATGATTTTAAATATAGTAAGCACTGAAGGAGATACCCTAGGAGTCAGTGCAATGGCCCATGGGGAACACACGTAACGGAAAAGTCAAGTTTGAAGTGGTTAAGTGCACATCAGTGTTCCCACCAATTTTTTCCATCCATGTGCGGATTTTTTTCCCATCCATGCGCGGAATAATTTTTTATGTGCACTGAAGCATATGCATGAGCACCACCAATAGAAATACAAAACACAGCTGTGGGTGTTCTGCTAATAAACTGGTTAGCACTTGAATTTCTCCCGAGCAGCTGCACAAGCGCCCAGCTTACAGGGAAAACGGATATTCAAAAACATGTCTGAGATAAAGCTTGTGATTCCTGAGCCATTGTGTGTGTGTGTGTGTGTGTGTAAGACTACTTTTAACATATGCCTTTGTATGTACTGTACTTATGTGGCTGATAACTGAGCCCTTCTCCTTATGGAGCATATTTTGTTTTTTCCACTCTACCAGGATGGCTTCACTCCATTAGCTGTTGCACTACAGCAGGGACACAATCAGGCAGTGGCCATTCTCCTGGAAAATGATACCAAGGGCAAAGTGAGACTCCCAGCTTTGCACATTGCTGCCAGGAAAGATGATACAAAATCAGCAGCACTCCTGCTCCAAAATGACCACAATGCAGATGTTCAGTCCAAGGTAAAAAGGCTTTGTTGTGGAGGCCTGGGGTAGTCATGTGTCTGGATGCCTCAGGGAAAGGGACATTAATTCCATCATTTTAAAATAGTGGCTCCAAGTAACTTCTGTGGTAAATAAATTGCTAAAACCCATATTGCCAATAAAACATCTTCTTCTGCAGTGCATATCTGCAAGACACAATAAATACAGGCAATGTACTAATTGACAGATCTTGTAAACCCTTTTAAAATCTGATCTCTTTCATTATTTACAATCAAGACAAAACAAGAATGAAAACAGAATTACTGAGTTGTGTCCATTAAATAGGATACTGGTTTGTGACCCATGCATACATGGGTTGTATTTAATGTTTAATGTATGCTTGAGTGGCTTTCCCCATAATAACAACATAACTCATTTCAACAGGCAACTTAGTTTTCCTTTTCCTGGATGATCTGTAATATTTTTCCTCTTTTTTCCAAACTATGCTGCATCAGATGATGGTGAATAGAACAACTGAGGTACCGAGATCAACACTTTTTTTATTAACTTTTTCTGTTAATTTGTGGTACTGTTCTTCTTATGCTACAGTATTTTTTTTCTTTATTGTTTAGCACTAAAAGTGAAACTTAAGGAACTTTTTCAAATACCTGCTAATGACAGTAATTGTATAGCAGCAACTTTTTGTTTGATCGTTTTTGCTTTTGTTCTCCCTTTGTCTTATAATTTCTTCCAGCTTGTATTATTGTATTGTGAGATAAACTAGAGTCTTCACGTGTGGTAAAAAAAAGAGTTAAGGTCTAGAGATGGGGGTAGGTGAGTGGATATATTTTTGAACTAAATAAAATTAATTATGCAAAAGCGTTCACTGGTCAAAATTAAGTGAAAACTTATGAGGATGTTAGGCTAATTCAAAATCACAGCAAAAGTCAAATGCCCAAACAACAAAGATTCCCCATTAGTTCCATAGGTGTAACTTGACCCAAGGTGTTTTGAATCTGTTTAAAAAAATGTAAACACATTCCTCATGCTCTAAAAGGTGGAATTCAGTAGATAATTAACCTATCACATATTTGCATTTTCAACCTATCAAAGCCAAACATTTAATAAATAAAATAGAGCCCTTCAAGAGAAGTATTTTATTGAAATCACATTTTTATTTGGAATAACCAGTAGAATGTGACAAATTGTTAAAATGGAATGTTCAGAAATGCTCGCAGGGGAGTGTGTGAATACATTCCTGCATAGCCAAAACTTACCTATGGCAGGCACCTTCAGGTCTTTCATGTTAATTCTGATGTGCCAACACTGAAAGCAGTGCTGTAGGGCATCATGTGTCTGCCAATTGGCTATAACTCAAATGTCAACCCTAAAAGTAACACCACCTCAGGAGAAGGCATTGTTTCCAAGAATCAAATCATTAAGCAGTGTTTTGAAATGCCTTTGTTTATACAGTTGGGAGTTTTAAGAGGAGGGAGATATGGACTTTGGATGCATATGTGTGCAAAAGTGTCCTGAGTTGTTGGGTGTTTTCTTGCTTTCCTAACTATGGCAACAAGGCCATGAATTTAATGTGTGTTTGATTCTAATTAGATCCTTTTCATCTTGGGACTGACATTGAAGTAAATGTAATGGGATTAAAATATCAGGCCGAGAGCTTTTGGGAACAAAGTCTTTTTGGAAAAAATTATGTAACATCCGAGTCTGATTTGCTAATGGATGAACAGTTTACAGTGTGGATCCTGATGCTAAAAAATGAAATCTGGTTTATAATACAAGTATGTTCAGAAACAGAAAATACTTCACTGTTCCTACTATAATAAATAGCTATGCTATTAGAACATAATATGTGCAACATTAAGGTCTTTCAGAGGAGATCTTTAAAAAAAGATTTTGCTCTGCTTTTCATGAATATTAAAGATTCATTGGAACTTTTTATAAGACTAGAAATTTGTTCATTATCAGAATTTCAAATAAATTACCTCATTCTAGACTATTGTGCAACTTTTTGTACCTTGCATCAGTCACACTCTAACCCACTACATTGTAGCTACATTTCAATGGTTTTTTTTCCATTTTGGTATGTATGATTGTATGATTTGGGAAGTGCTTTGGAATGTAATATAAATATAGAATGGTTTGATCATTAACTCTACTGTCTACTAAGTAAAGTATTTTGAAGTGCCTTGAAGATACTTTCAATATAGTACAAACATTTGTTGCTTTCCCAGACACACACACCCACACCCACCCACCACCCAGCAACACACCCACACACACCCACACACACACCCACACCCACCCAGCAACACACCTCCGAAAGAAAGAAAGAAAGAAAGAAAGAAAGAAAGAAAGAAATGCTCATGCTGAAATTTGCCATTCTAAGAAAAGATCAGCAAAGTAAAAACCAACGACAAAACATGACAGTTGAAAGCCCAACTTCTGTGTTGTGGAAAGAAGTAGTAAAACATTTGTTTGAATGTTTTCTGTGTGTCTGGTCATCTCTTTTTTGATTAGCAACATAGATCCACAAGGAATAGCAAATAACACAATTGATCAATAAGTGAATAGGAAAGAAGAGCTTTTTATTATCCACAGTAGGGAAAAACTACCTTCATTCTATGGTCAAGACCTTATGTTATTTTGTAGGTGCGCAAGGTTAGAGTAACGTTACACGTTTGTTTGCCAAAAGTTGTTAAAATCAGAAGTTCTCTGAGGAGACCAATAATATAGCACTGAAGAAATTCATTCCCTAACTAGGAGTGTTTCCTTTTATAGAGCGGCTTCACACCTTTGCACATAGCTGCTCACTATGGAAATGTCAACGTGGCAACGCTTCTGCTCAACCGAGGAGCTGCGGTAGACTTCACAGCCCGGGTATGGATTAATTTTTTTTTCTTACATGGGATGGTCGATGGATGTGGGAGTGTATCTTTGCTTAAAATTCCCAATCAAAAGTGGAATGGAAAGCAAAGTGCTGAGGAGATTTCAGCATAGAACCAAAGGTTACTTTGTAACCGGGAATTAGCTGCAAAGTTCACAAGGAATGTGCTGAGTTGCCTTGAGGGGACATAGCTGCACACTATGGAAATGTCAAAGTAATAAGCCCCCTTCAAGGTATCCAGAATGCAAACACTCTCATTTTGTGCCAACTAATTTAAGAGTCTGTGCCACAGTCAGGCATACTACAGAAACATGTATTATTCATTGATTTTTCCCTGTCTCCTGAATTTTTATGATTTACCAGTATAAGTTTATTTACCTTTCCATAATATTATTGTATTGGAACAAATCAATAAATTAAAAATATGCTGCGAATATATAAAACAGAATAGAGGTTCTGATTAACTGAAAGCCACCTTTGCATGAAAAACCACAACCATTATAAGACTAATTAATATAGTTTATTAGCTATTTTACATCACTTAACTGATTAACATGTGCATTGCTATAGCTGTTACTATTGGATAAGAAATTTTTTGTTTCATTTTTCATTCCCAGAATCTTGTTGAATTGCTTTATGAAGAACTGCCTTTCTGAAGGATTTCATGTTCACACAGTCAACATAATCCTCACTAATGTTCACTTTTATTTTCCCCAAGAGTTTTCCACCTGATGTGCTGGCAAGGGCATCCTTGTTGAAAATTAAATATTAAATACCATCTTTCAGACTAATTAGAGCCTGTTTTTTGACACTGATTTCTGTTATACTAATGAGCTTCCTTTGTATCCGAGCCCCCATGCTTTGTATGTTGTGCGTGTGTTGCAGTGATTTAAATACATAAGTATGCTGTGAATGTTGACCAATTTGGGCTCTGATGTATGTTTTGTCCTACTGTGTGACTGTGATGGTCAGATCAAGATACATGTCTATAAGAAAACCAAAATGCCAAAAGGTCTGAATCTCAAATAACATGTGTGCCTAGCTCTGAAGCTCAGAGAGTTGCTTATCTTCTGTACTGTATTGATGTTCCTCTTTTTGTGATCCAAATACAAAGGCATCACCATTATACATTTTCAAGTCCATCATGCTTTTTGTTTGTTCTTTTCATGGTGTAGAATGGAATCACCCCACTGCATGTGGCTTCCAAAAGGGGAAACACAAACATGGTGAAGCTTTTGTTGGATCGCGGAGGGCAGATCGATGCCAAAACCAGGGTGAGTGTTTCTGTCCCTGAATATTGTGTTATCACTTCTTGGTTTTGGGGAGGTTTTTAAGCTGGAGGCTTGGAAAGGCAACATTCATAGATAAGAGAGATTGTCTGTCTTGTCTTTCCTTCTGAAAGTGAGAAGTTAGATGTGCAGCTCTTGTATATCAAAGGAGAAAAAAATGATCAGCTGAACACAATCCCAAAATATTGAACATTTTCCCTTCGCAAATGACACTGAAGCCCGTTTTTGATATTGCGGATCAGACTTTCAGACTCCTTAAAACTATTCCATGCAGCTATTTGCACTTGCAGAATCTTTGTTTTATGTTTGTAAGGAGACAACCTGGGTGAGGAAACTTTTTGTTTGTTTGGACAAGCTTCTGTTGGTGAGAGTGTGTGTCATCCAGCGCAGTAAATGGTCCAATAACAATTGGGTGGATGAAACTAGATGATCTCTGCCCTCTTGAATGAACTTTCACAGAAGAATAAGACGACAAAAACACCCTATCACAACAAAGCAAGCATTTCATGTCTGACCTGTCAGTCCTCATCCCCAAAGAAAACCTGCGTAACACTTTCAAAAGATGAGCTTAAATTCATAGTGCTAGACACTGAAAATCACAGATTGAACAGACGACAAGGAATCCTGTAGCACCTTATAGACTAACAGATGTATTGGAGCATAAGCTTTCGTGGGCAAAGACCCACTTTGTCAGATACATGCATCTGATGAAGTGGGTCTTTGCCCACGAAAACTTATGCTCCAATACATCTGTTAGTCTATAAGATGCTACAGGACTCCATGTCGCTTTTGCAGATCCAGACTAACAGGGCTACCCCTCTGATAGATTGAACAGAGACACTGGATTTATTACAGCAATTTATTATGCACTAATAAGCCTTGCCTCCAGCTGCCTTCCCTCCCTCCCTTCCCCCCTATGACTGCAGGGGTGTTAATAGGCCACTTTACTTTAATTGGTCCCTTAAAATATGTGCTAACTACTTATGCTAAACAATCTGTTTAACTAGTATTTACCTGGGACATTCTGAAGTACAGGTCCCAGACCTGAATAAGAGCCCTGTCTCCCTCATCCGTAGAAGCTGCTCCTATAAAAGAGGGGTAGCCGTGTTAGTCTGTAACGGAAAAACTTAAAAAAGGAAGATGATGTCTGTTTGGATCTTTCCTATAAAATATAGAACCTCATCTACCTTCTGTTCCTAATATCCTGGGATCAACATAGCAATCCAGTACCTCTGTGTTTGTAGACAGTTATTCACCCTAAGGCTAGGATTGTAAGCCCTTAGTTATGATTTAATAAAAGGCACTGGTGGACACAGGATACCTCATTGGTTCATTTTGCAGTCTACCCACATTGTCAGGGCTGGCCTTACCAGGAGGCGAACTGAGACGGCTGCCTTAGGTACCAGACTGCGGGGGGGCACCACTAGGATCCAGAGTGTAGAAAATTGTGTCTGCTGTTGGTGCATATGTATTCTCTCTGCTCTAGATGCACAGAGATGGTGGAGTGCTATGCTGGAGGAAGGAGGGAACAAGAGACATAACAGGCAGGCAGGAGAGAAGGTGACATAGGGGTGTCCTTTGAGCTCCCTGCTTCAGGGGCCAAAATGTTGTGGGCCAGCCCTGCAGATTATGTGGCACCTAGAATAGCTTCTGTGGGGCTGCTATACTTCTCTTCCTCTCCAGGTGGACAAGGGGGAGGTGGGATAGGCTGAGGAATGGTTTGAAGTGTTGCCTCGGCTCCCAAGATGCTAGCCAGCATAGCGGAATTAGCATTAGAGAAGCAAATAATTTATAGTTGGTCTGTACCAGGTTGCTTTCTCACGAAGCAGGGATGAATCAGAGCAATAAACATGACTCTAAATCACAGTTTCCTTCCTGATTCATTCCTATGGCTATATTCTGCTCCTTTGTTGATTGGAGTCACCTGTATGAAATCTAACAAACATACATATGAGTTTGTGTGTGCGCAATGGTATTTTATTTATATTGCATTTTTTGAATCATTTCTGAAGATGTTTCTCCTTGTGCAGACTGGATCACTCCTTTCTCTCACAAGTCACTTCTTGGAATAATTGATCTGTTTTTAAAGAGCTGTTTGTTTTCAAGCCTTGATCCACTTAGTTATTAATCTTAGTCACATCCATAATTTAAAAAACTGGTTCATACTGTAGTGTTCAAACACAGCTGTGGGTTTTGAAACTGTAGCAGTTAAGGATGTTTGAATTCGGATTTTGGTCTGATGTGTTATAAATAAAGGAGATATTTGCCTTCAGGTCCAGGGTTGGATTTCAAAGAGCATCTGAAAATTTAGAGGGTATTTGGATACTGAGATCTGGCTTGGGTCTGTCTCACCAGCAGTGTGATAGTGTGGAAAATCTGAGAAAGTGGCAGTGATGATACCTTTGAAAACCTGTATAATCCTAATCATCTCTCTTGTTTATAGTGCATAATGCTCACATTAAACAGCTCTTGAGATTGACTCAACCCTTCTTCATTTTGGCTGTTTCAGCTTTTTACTGCTTCATGCTACAAAAGCTGTAGAGGTGCTCTCTTAATTGAATGATTATATGATTAATATTTGATTTGTGATGCTGTAAGGAAGAGAAATACAATAATCTCTTTTTAATTACACCTTATATGGGAAAAGGCTGCCTTTTGTGTAAGTGGGCACTAATTCACAAAAGGCCAAATTCTCAAAAATAGTAAAATATGCAAATGCAGAAACAAACCGCTAACTATGCCTTGCACACAAGATAATCATATACATGCACAATTTTGGCAGTTGCATGCAGATGCCCCCTTTTGTGCATGCAATTTTAGTTTTGAATTAAAGTTACAAATGCCTGGACGTTTTGTGTTCAAAATGTAGGAGTCTGTTTTGAAAAGTTGGCCGAATAAAGAAAAGTATAAAGACACTTCTGATTCTCTTTGAGAGTTGTATCTCTTATTTTGGTGGACTCAGAGTACAGTCCCACCAGCCAGATCAAAGCATAAAACTAAACCAAATTATAGGAACAGGAGCACATAGTTTGTTCCAAAATATCTAATTTTAGGAGACTTTGTCTAAGTTCATCACCCCTCTTCAGGTAGGCAGCTTGGCTGAAAGTTGTTAGCTGTCAAAAAACAACAAACAAACAAAAACCAGAACCTGCGAAGTATCACAAAATACACATTCTTTGACTTGCACAGACTCAAGAGCTTCTTCTTGCTTTAATATTCGACATTCTCTCTACTAAAAGACATACTGTTGAGGGCAGCTTTGTGCACTTGACAGTGTGGGAGATTCCAGAGGTTTGATTTTTGTCTAATCCTGTCTCACTGTGATGATGTTCTCATGCCAGCATTTTATATAGTCTTGGTGTCTTTTTCTTTTCCCTTTGCTTTATCCACATGCCTTGTGCTTTGCTATGGCTGTGAGTGTGCATGGTAATGAAGAGGTAGGTTGTGTGTTGCATGCCATGCATACATGTGTTTTGCATTTTAGAGGAAGGACTTCTGCCTCCTACTTGGTACTAACATACTTGTCTATCCATACTTTCCTTTTTATTTCTCCTGAGGAAAGATTATCTTTCTCTAGCAATGTAGGGTAAAAACGGGATGAAACAAAACGAAATACACATCAGGATATTTCATCTATACTTTGGCAACTCTGACCTTTAAACTTGATTTCTTTGTCACATTGAAAACAACACTTTGGCCCAGAAAGCATTCATTGATGATGTTCTTTTTTATTTTTAACCCTCTTCACTATGTGGCACTTGATGATGCATATATCAAGACAATGAACCATTATTAATGCATTTTAAATTAGTCTTAAGAACTCTATGCACTGCTCAACAGACACATTGTAATTATCTCATTAGAGGTTTTTATATTAGGAAATGTTCTCTAGGATTGTTCCCTCTGGAAGCTATTTCACTTTCTGTCTTAAATAAATAAACAACCCATAGCTCTCAAAAATAGTAAATTATGGGTGCACATTCACAGCTCTGTAGTTAAATTTGCACTAGCCTAACTATTTAAAGCAGGAATTAAATCTCCTACTTTTGTATATCTAGGATGACCAGATAGAAAAATCAGGATGGGGGTGAGGGGTAATAGGCAACTACATACGGAACCCCTTCTCCCTCCCTTCCCCCCCCCCCAAATATTGGGACTGCCCTTATAAAATCGGGACATCTGGTAATTCTATATGCATGATCTAATATAATGTGTCCTATCCAAGCTTAAGAATTTCTAGAATTGAGAACCATCTGAGTGTTTGTGAGTAAATTTTTCTGGTTACATGTATAAGATAACTAATTATGGTTAAGATTTTGGCACGGTGTGGGGAAGTTATTAAAATTCACAGGCTGGACGTGGGCAATAAACCATAAATCATGGAAGCCAGAGTCTTGTGACATGGGGCTGCCAGCTGGAGCCGTGCCAGCTGGGGTTGAAGCTGAAGCAGAAGTCACAAAGGCCTGTTAAAGTCACAGGATCAGTAACTTTGCATGACTAAATTGTATCCTTAGTTATACTCAGTTAAAAACAATCCCTGTCTGAATTTTGTAGTGAGTCTTGTCATTTTCCACATCTCTCTACAAAATAAATTCTTAAAAATGTGTTCTGGATACTTAACCCACTTACAGATAATTCCAAAATTTAAAATATAGTCTACTTGCAAAGCTTACTAATATGAATATTTTAGTTAATTAACATAATTAGTCATAAGCATTTCTCTTTAGATCATGATGTTGGTCATGATATTTGTTATTTAAAGTTTCAGATCATAAAACTTCTTGTATGACTATAATGTTACATGGCAGGATTTATTCTCTCTGAAACCTGAGATGACTAATGAATGCAATGACATTAATTTGTCACCTAAAATTTTAGATGACAAAGTTTTAGATAACAAAACATGGTATAATGAAAAGATATAGTGCTATCTTAATATTGGTTTTAGAAATGGTGCTATAAATGATGGGTTATTCTTGGATCTT